ATTATTATTATTATTATTATTATCATCATCATCATCATCATCATCATCATCATCATCATCATCAACAACAACAACAACAACAACAACAACAACAACAACAACAACAATACACCATTGAGTCAAATCTGACTTATGACGACCCTTTCCAAGTTTTTATAGGTAGAGAATACTCAGAACCGGTTTACTGTTCCCTACTTCTGGGGGTCCCCTGGGACTGTGCAGCTTGCCCAAGTGGGATTCAAACTCCCAGCTGTAGCTGCATAGCCAGATGCCTAACTCACTGAGCTGGCTAGCATGGCAACTAACATGACAGACAACAACAACAAACCAACATACAATACTGAACAAAAAGAAGAACCAGAAAAAGTTCAGCCAAAATTGGTATAAGCAAAACATTGCCTTTGATATTGGAGAAAAAAGCGATAGGATGTATGCGGGATTCAAAGTGGGAGAAATGCCAGTCTAGACAAGCCTTCAGTCTTCCAAGTGATTAAGCCACACATAACATTCTGTTTCTTGTTTCCTAATTTGATCAGGAAACCCTTAGCCTTGAACATGTCATTATATCATGGGAAGGTGACATAGCAATGGGCATTTCTGTTAAGAATATAACTGTGGCATAGATGTCTGTCTGTCTCTCTGAGTTCACGCACCATGTACATCTTGTTTTGAAACCTGCTTATCCTTCAAGAAGTGCTGTCTTGAAAATAAGATACACACACTTTGTTACCAAGCAGAAATCCTTATTTCTGAAGGTTTTTCTCCCTCAGGCTGCTGCCAAAATTTGGCAACGTGCCTCCAGAGAATATGTTGAGCTTAGAGGCTGGCAGCCACAGCCTGAAGCTCTTACAAATAAGCCCATATACTTTGGCTAAAGAGATGATGTCTCTAACTTTATAGCTTAATGTGCATTTAGTCCGCTGAGGTTGCTTACCTGTCCTGGCACAAGAACTGAGGATCATATTTTATCCTCATATTCATTCTGTCATTCCAAAGGCTATGACTGTATAAACGGGAAGACCCAAATATGGACCAGGCCACAGTATAATAATAATAATTATGCACAGTAGGTCTGCAGAGGAGTGAGTGACCAGACACAATATGGAAAGAAAGCATGGTGTTTCTCTTACATTTATGGAAGGTAGTATGGTTAGTGGGCCTTGTTCAGACTTGACCTGCCTACCCGATGACTCAGTAGGATGAGCTGGCACCTCTTTGGTCCTGTTGCCCCCTCCCAGTGTTTAATGCCTGCACCATGGCCAGATGTAATTGTAAATGGGTGGGAGGAAAGGTCATGCAGGGTGCTTTGTTCTAGGTCAGCTTCGTGAACGGGGAGATTACAGATCCACCCAATAGGGCACTTAAGGTCATGTCTGGAAGGGGTGAGTCACCAGGTCTCCACATCCTTCCCCAAGTTTAGATGCTGATCCTATTCTCCCACAGCACCTCCCTGCAAGGAGAAAGATCAGACTCACGCTGACAATTGCTTCCTTGGTTTGCAGCATGTCAGAGATGACACCATCCGTGATGATGAGAAGGACATAATATTGAGACCCGTCGGTAACCTCGGCAGCCAAACTGGGAAAGAAGAAGAGCAGAGACCCGGTCAAAACATCCTTTATTTAAATAAGAACGTAGGAGGCTGTTTTATACAGAGCGAGACCAATTCTTCTGTCTAGCTCAGAATGGCCAACAATGACTGGCAGCCGTTCTCCAGGATGAATTCTACCAGGTGAGGCCAGACATTGACCTTGTGGCCTCAAGCAGGCAAAACTTGCGCCCTGCCCATGAGTCACCTTCAGGCCTACATCCTTCTGGCCTCTCACTGTTTATTGTTCACTTGATTGCATCTACATTAACTACTGTGGCAAACATAGTGTGGTCTCGTCACAAGGGTAAAATGGGAGCCAGGGTGAGACCATAAACACATGGTCCAACTCTCTTACAATTTGGCTAGTATAGCCCATGGTAGGAAGTACAGTGGTGCCCCGCATAGTGACGTTAATCCGTTCCAGGATTAACGTCGCTATCAGGAAACATCGCTATGCGGGGGGGAACCCCATAGGAACGCATTAAATCCCCTTTAATGCGTTCCTATGGTTGACAAAACTCACCGTTGAGCGAAGATCCTCCATAGCGCTGCCATTTGCGCCGCCTCAGTAAGCGAGGACAGTGCGCGAAAATGCTGTGGGCGGCCATTTTGGTGACGCGGAGGCCATTTTGGAACCGCTGATCAGCTGTTTTCTAAACATCGCAATGCAAAGATTGGTAAGCGAAACGCTTACCGATCATCGCAATGCGATGTTTAGCCTATCTAAAAACAATTGCAAAAAACGAATCGCTATGCGGTTTCGTCATTAAACGGTGCACTCGTTATGCGAGGCACCACTGTAATGGGAGTTACACTCCAGCAGCATTCAAAGGGATGCATATTATTTATTTATTTATTTATTTCAAATATTTTATCTCACTTTTCTCCTTAAAAAAGGCCCCAAGGTGGTTTACAAATTAATTATGCAGGCTACACATTGCCCCCCCCCCCCCAGCGAGCTGGGTACTAATTTTGCTGACCTCAGAAGAATAGAAGGCTGAGTCAACCTTGAGCCGCTACCTGGGATTGAACCCCAGGTCGTGAGCACAGTTTTGGCTGCAGTACAGCGGTTTAACCACTGCGCCACGAGGCTCAATAAGCATCGAAATATTTAAAATAGAATTTAATATTTTAATATTTATTTAATATTTTAAATATTCACCATTTGTGGAAAATGGTAAATAAAATCAATACTAAAACACACTCAAAACAACAGAGCACAACAATCCATTTAAAAAAACTTGTCTCAGAGCACTCGTCACTGAGGGGAAACTTGCTTTTAGAGAAAGGTCTTAATCTACTTGCAGAAGGACAACAAAGATGGGGCCAGTTTGGCCTCCCATGGAAGGGAGTTCCAGAGCCTGGCAGCGGCAACAGAGAAGGGCCTCTCCCAGGTCCCCACTGATCCCCAACTTAGAGATTTCCCTCACCTCCTCTATTCCTGGGCTCCATGGTCCAAATTCTGCTCTGAACTCTGAGTTTGAAAAAGTGACCTTTTTGGCTACTGCCCCCCAGCGTCCTCCAGGCATCATGGGCCCTCCATGTTGAATGGGGAATCTGGGGAGTTGCAGTCCTCAAAAAAACAACTTTTTCAAGCTTGCAAGTAAGGCAGTGAAGCCGTGCCTAATGATTAGGAATAATTATGTGCCATCAAGTTGAGTTTTCTAGTTATAGAGTACTTAAAAGTGTTTTTTTTCCCCTTCTGGGATTCCTCTGTGACTGTGCAGCTTGCCCAAGGGTACATAGGCTGGCTCTTCACTCACTGGGCTATTTACTGTGATACTTTAAAAGCAGAAATGATGGAGCCATACTGGGCTATTTTGAAGGCAACATTCACGAGTCTGGATGTAAGAGAATGGGCTCTTGGCAATCTCAGTACTATCAGAGTAAAAACTCAGTACCCTGAGCTTTTTAGAGGCAGAAGAGAAGAAAGATTTCCTGCAAACTGTCACTTACCGGGCAACTTGGTTGATGACAGGTGCAAAATTGGTGGGTCCATATAACTGTACAGTACGCAAACTCTGGAAATACGATTCCAGGACTCCCTCAATGCCTTCACAGTTGGGGTTCTCCAGGTTGTTGTTCTGTAAAGAGGATGGTGCAGTTTAGCAAGAGTGTGAGTGTGTGACTCTTTACCGATTCCTTAGCAGGTGACTACTTACATACAGTATTAGCAATTTCTTCAGAAGTTGGAAGACTAGAATTTCTTTTTTAAAAAATCCTTGAAATTCTATCTAAGAACCTGCCACACAAGTTCCAATGCACAAATTAGTAGATACCTGCATCAATGGCTAGAACCCCTTAGAGATAAATTCTGTATGACAGGTGCTGCCTACCAGATTAACCCCTTCAGCCACGAACACCAGCATAGTCCAAAAGTTCAGGCACTAACCGACCGACCGACCGACCGACCGACCGACCGACCAACCAACCAACAAACCAACCAACCAACAAACCAACAAACCAACCAATCAGACTTCACTGCCTGATTAGTTTTGCAAAACAAGCTGCTCCTGCTAGACATCTCAACAAGAATACATCACATTCACAACTATATATTATTGATGGGAGCATCTATTTCCCCTCCTGTAGCCACTGTGATGAACATAGCTAAGTCAAGAGAAAAAAGAGGAGCCTCACCAGGGCTTTCATGGCATTTGGTTGATACCACCATTGTCTCTCCTGCCACTGCAAAACATGCTGACCTCTTTACACTGAACAGCTTGCCCAGAAACACCAACTCTTGACTCTACGTGCACTCACAATAACTGGCATTTTTCCTGATGTCAAGACAATGCAAGGCTTGAACTGACATCAGCAATGACAAAGTGAAATACCCTGTATGTGTGTGAGTGTGTGTGTTCATGTTTTAACAGTTTCCAATAGGAGTTTTTACTGACATCAGCAATGACAAAGTGAAATACTGTACCCTGTGTGTGTTCGTGTTTTAACAGTTTCCAATAGGAGTTTTTTGGTTGGTTGGTTCCCTTTGCACTCAACAGAGTTCCCTCTCCAAGAACATTACTGGTTATACATCTGAGCCTTAGTTCTCTGTAACGTAACACATACTCACAAACAAATTTGCATCACAGGAGACAGCTTTTGAAAGGCTGCCTAACCCGTTTGTATTAAGAGGATGTGTAAAGACAGCTGATTTCCAACAAGTAATTTAGGAGAAGGCCACTCACTGGCAAGATTTCCCATGAATTTCACATTTCTGTATTAATCTACTGTAAAACACACACATTAAACAGTGAACATCCCATCATGCCACCCCCTCAGAGAAGCCAAGGCAATGGCAGCGAGGCTGGGCTGCCTCTGCCAAATCTTCCACTTAATAAATTCCTACTTGCACACCAGAGCAATGGCAGCGAGGCTGGGCTGCCTCTGCCAAGTCTTCCACTTAATAAATTCCTACTTGCAAGCCAGAAGATGAAACTATAATATTCATCTCTCTCTCTCTCTCTCTCGTGTGTGTGTGAGTGTGTGTTCTAAGAGGGGTGGTTCATCTCTCTCTCTCTCTCTCTCGTGTGTGTGTGTGTGTGTGTGTGTGTAGGAGCTCCGATCAGCTTTCCATTTTATCATTACTCTGCTACGACACAGGCACCCATACGCATGCATGCATGCATACACCACCCCAACATGAAGCTTGTTTTGAACTGCCAATTGTGTGTGTAGGAGCTCCCATCAGCTTTCCATTTTATCATTACTATGCTACGACACAGGCGCCCATACGCACGCATGCATGCATGCATACATGCGGAGAGATAGACAGAGCACAAAAGATTGGTTTTGAAGATTTCTTAAAGTTTCTAAAATCTGTTTGAGCCATTTCTTGAAGGGATGCCGATTTCATAAAGGAAGAGCGGGTGGAGCTTTAAGGATGTGCGTGGATAGCAATCCCAGAAAGATCCATTCTCAACTGGCACAAGGCCAGGAAGAACAAATTCTCTCTGTCTGGCTGAGCCTTTATGTTAGTGCTTTTGGTTCCAGAAGGCATCTTGGAGCACTAGAAGTCATTAAAAAGGTAAAGGTAAAGGTTCCCCTTGACAATTTTTGTCTAGTAGTGTTCGACTCTAGGGGGCGGTGCTCATCCCCGTTTCCAAGCCATAGAGGCAGCGTTTGTCTGAAGACAATCTTCCGTGGTCACGTGGCCAGTGCGACTTAGACACGGAACGCTGTTACCTTCCCACCGAGGTGGTCCCTATTTATCTACTCGTATTTTGCATGCTTTCGAACCGCTAGGTTGGCGGGAGCTGGGACAAGCGACGGGAGCTCACTCCGTCGCGGGGAGTCCAATTAACAGATCATGTGATTTAAGGAAGAGGAAAAAGCAGAGAAAGCAATGGAAGGGGAAAGAGAAAGATATTGATTGTGTTGCTCAACAAGGGACAGTGAATTGCAACAATGCTGAATTTATTTTCCTCCTCTTGAGAGCTCTGTGATGTGATTGTAATAACCCTGTGGTGTTGATCGTGAATTGCAACAATGCTGAATTTATTTTCTTCCTCTGAGAGCTCTATGATGTGATTGTAATAACCCTGTGATACTGTATTGATTTAATAGCTAAAACAATGGCATTTGACTTGACTGCTTCCAAATATTTTACATTAAAAGAATGAGCCAATTTTTAAACATCCTAAAAATGTTTTTCTTTTGGATTGGGTTGCCTCCTTAACTGAGCCCTAGCATCCAGAATAGATTCTGGAGCTTCGTGCCCCAAGGGACGAGACCGCTCCTGTTCATCATGTCCAGTCAGCATCGTCCTCCCCCCAAGGTTTTTGATTCCCCTCAGTTTCTCCACTTGTCCCACTTCAGTGTTCTTTAGTTATTGATGGTATTCCTCAGTAGGTCATTTTGGGTCCCCTCTTGGGATCTTTTTTGCCTCCTTTTTTGGGGTAGTGGTGGTAGGGGAGAATGCTTCTAAGGTGATGATGATGATGATGATGATGATGATGATGATGATGATGATGATGATGATGATTCAAAAATACCTGGCACAGAAAATCAAAATTATATGCTTTCTCTAAACTTTCCCCAATGCAATCCTCTTGAGCACAAATGGTATCATTTTGACTATTTAAGAATAGTCAAGGGGGTCAAACTAAATCTTACGAATAACAAGTCATTCAAAGGGGAATTCATTAAGCACTAAAAAAAAATCTGATGGTTACAAGCTTGTCCCACTTCCTGTCACTTGCAAATCTGCCTGCTCCGTTTTGTCACTGGGAGCTAAACATGGGCTATGTTCTTAAATATGACCACTCAGACATGAAGCTCTACTAGAATCATGCCTCTGAAAGTGACTTTAGCTTTTATTTATGCACTGTCTGTAGCATACAATTTGACCCTTGGAGAAATTAGCTTGCTGTTAGCATATAGGATGATCCACAGAATTCCACAGATCCCCAGTCTATGAGGAGATAAAAAGCTGCTCATAACAAGCTACCTTAAGAATGCCTCTAGGCTGAAAATGTTCACCTTGTGTGGCAGGATCTGCCTCTACGGACCTGCAAATTTCAGATCCATTCATAACAAAGATGCCAGGGATGACACACAAGGCAAGCCTCCTACTCTAAAGACCCCCCCCACCCCTGCTGTCGCAAAGGGAGTTCCTACCTACCAAAGGGAACTGGTGGGACACTTTGCCATCTGGTGGAACCTTGGCCCCAAAGCCATAGGCAGGGAAAAGTTTGTCGCTGTCGTAATCCTGGATGATTTCGCCAACTGCTTTCAGTGCCATGGCATAGGAGCTGAGCTGATAGGGGCTCATATAGTGGAGGGAGGTGGGCTGCGAAGGAATTCCTGTGAAAAGACATTTGGTCAGCCTTCAAAATCCGGCATTTCCCCTCCTTGGTCTCCCCAGCCCAGCTTTTCATCTGCCTGCCCCGTATCTGTCCCAGTGCCTCTCTGTTACATTTATATCCTACTTCTCCTTCAGTGAGATCAAGGCCATGTACATCACTCTCCTCTGCTATCTTCATAACTCTACACCAACCCTGTGAGGTAGGCCAGGCTAAGAGAGACTGTGACTGATAGCCTACAACCCAAGATCACCCATGATCAAGTAGGGATTTGAACTGAGGTCTTGCAGGCCTTTCTTCCCTTTCTCCATAGCTCCGCTCGCACCCACACCCAGTGGGTTGGTTCCTCTTCTTCCTTTCTCCCGGAGTTAACACTCCCCCTCTTTAGTTTCCCATAGCCGGTGAAACAAAGGAGTGCTAATATGGTACTACACCTGTCCTTTGCTCAGAGTCTTCCCCCCAACACCAATATTCCCACTGTGGAGGAGGGGCAGTGCCCAAAACAGACATTCCTCACAGAGGAGGAGGGCTAAAGACCTCTCAGTCTATGGACAAGGGTCCTTTCTTGCTCAGTCCCCAGTCATAACATCCCACAGTTCCCATAGTGATCCCACTGATAAGTCCCACACTCACCATTGGAGGCTGTGAAATCAATGGCAACTGTGAAATTTAGCTGCGTCCTAAGGGAGGTGGGTGGGGTGAGAGGGGGGGAAAAAGAGAGAGAAATACATTTTGCCATATCTGTAAGGCCCACAACGTATCATCAGCGATGTTTCCCTCCCATCCCTGCAGAAGCAGCACTACTCTGTCTCCTATCAAGCCCCAAAGCAGAGCAGCATCTCAACACCAAGATGCCCTTTCCCTTGTCTATGTCGCTTCCCAATGAGCCACAGACCATTTTGTTCTGGTTTCCGCCCTCTGCGGCTCTCCTTAGAGACGCCCTTCTGGGAATCATGTCCCAAGAGCAGTGAAGGCTGGCATAGGAACTGTGGGTCCCCAGGCCTTCTCAAAGTTCATCCGGGTTTTTCAAGTGACGCACCCGCCTCGAATATAATCGACAAAGGTGTATTCCGATTGCACCGTGAACGACAAAAGGGTAACCTGCAAGGAACAGAGAGGATAAAGAGACAGTTAGAAACCTTATAGGAGACCAGAGTTTGGAAAGCTGTTTTAAGAAAGTAATTCGTTCTCATTACAATGGTGAGTTCAAAAATTTGTTGCCACAACAGGTATAAATTTTTAAAAGTAGATCATTGCTTTTCTGTTTCTTGAAAGTAGCTAGTAAAGCCTTGTGGAGCAGGGGTTAAAATGCAGTACTGCAGTCAAAATTCCTGGGTTCAATCTCAGGTCGCCAGCTTGAGGTTCACTCAGCTTTCCATCCTTCTGAGGTCGGTAAATTGAGTACCCAGCTCACTGGGGGGAGGGAGCACCATGTCTAGCTTGCATAATTTAATTGCAAACCACCCAGACATTGCTTTAAGCATGATGGAGTGGTATATAAGCAGGATAGTACTTTGCTAAATGTTACCTTTTTAAATTATTTTATAAAAAAATTCTGAAGGCTACAAGCCACTGACATGTGATTTAAAAAAATGCACTCTCCTATCAGCTACCTTATTCAGAGAATCACAGAACAATGGCGTTGGAAGGGGCCTATAAGGTTATTGCGTTTAACCCCATGCTCAAAGCAAAAATCCTAATCAAAGTATATCTGACAGATGGTTGTCTGATTTTCTCTAGAATCTTTCCAATGTTCTTGTCCCCAGTCAAGGAAGGAGGGAAGAACAAGACTATGGATATAGTCCATGAAATAACATAGCTTCTCAAGAGTTAATCATAAAGATGCAGCTTGGAGGCTGTACAGGGGATTGGCTTTAAACAATGTGTACATAAGTACTCTGACGCTGTGCGATGATGAACAATATACTAGGATGAGTTTCACATCCCTCTCCTGGAGAGGATCTAACGCTTAGTTATTGCAAAAAAGCAACAACGCCTAATTGTAAGTAAGCTGTTCCTCCCCAAGCTTTCTTCTACAAGATATGATGGAGAAATGGTGAGGTAATGGGAAAGCATCTCTGAGAATCTGTTCTATTTTGGCGCAGCCTAAGAAAAGTGAAGCAGTTACTTAGAATACTTTCCACATTCTCGGGGAGTTAATATTATTTTCTCTTTGTTATTGAAACCATTAGTTCTGTTTTTAGAAGAGACGGTTGTAGAATGGGTCAGGAAGGCTAGACTGTGGTATAGATGCAAGTGGTCCCCCTTCTTCATCTAGCTCTCTGCTGACAGATTCCTAAATTAATATTTGTGTGCGTGTACACAGGTCCGCACACACACATTTGCACCTATATTTGGGAGAAAGAAAATAGTATTCTCACACTTACAGTTCCTGAGTTAACGTATTTCTTTTTCTTGCATTTCTTCCTAGGATTTGAGACCTGATGTTGGAGCAGAAAAATGACAGGTGAGCATTCGCTACTCCCAAGACCCCATTTTGTCTTCCCCCCGACAGTCACCCTACAGACTTAAGTCCATGACACCAGTCACTTCTTCCCTGTGTCCCACCCCATACTCACCCTCACCTCCAACCCCACCTTGGTTGAAGTCCCCTTTTTCAGAGTTGTGCTTGCGGATGTATATTTTTAAATGTATTGTTTAATATATAATTCTGCCTTTCCTCCAATGAGCCCAAGGTGCTTGCTTGCCTGCTGGCTTAAAAGTGGTCTATATAATGGTCCTCCCTACTTAAATTCTCACAACAACCCTTTGAGTAGATCCTGATTAGATCCTTTGAGTCGATCCTGATCCTGAGACATCTTGATTAGCCCAGTGTCACCCAGTGAGTTTCATGGCTTTTTAACCACGATACCAAACACACCAGCTCTCACTATATAAAAAGGCAGGAACTCTTTCTGAAACAGAGGAAGAGGGACGTGGTTGGTGGATCAAATCAGCCTTTGAGCTGTTGGGGGCCTGCATTGGACATTTCTTTTTCAATTCATGAATTTGAGCGGAAGCTAGGTTCAGGAGAAGAACTCGCTGAGACTTCTGCTTATCTATTATTGATCATTAATCAACTCAAAATATTTTTAACCAATGGATAGCTCCAGCTTGCATCTTCATCATTGGTTTCCTAAACAATGAGACTGGCAATTCAGATACAGACCAGTAAAATTCCAACAGCATTCTTACCAATATGTAACAGTGGCTCCCAGTGCTCCAAATTATACTGAGAACAACATTTAGAGCATTTCTCCTTGGATGACTCATTGGTCAAGAGAGCCTAGTAAACAGCAAAGCAAGTCTCCATCATTTTTCAAGGAGAAGTTCACTGTGGGCACATTGACAACGATTGTTTACTTCCCTCTGTTAGATCATCGTGATGCTGCCTTTTTTATGTAACAGCAGGCATAAACTGTATAACATCACCCCAAGTAGTTGTAATAGCTTATTGAAGCAGCATCATGCAGGGTAGGATACACGGCTTGTCCTAAATCCAAAATTGTGGGGGAGGAATAATGGGACTCTTGAGAGATTTTCAGCTTGCTGCTTAGTAAATTAGGTATCTCTTGACTGTGGAGCAAGAGGTTGGGAGTGCAATTCCCCCCCTGTGCATCGCAGAAAGAACAGCCTGTGTGGCCTTAAGCAAGCTGCACAGTCCCAGGATGCCCCAGAAGAAGGGAATAATTAATTGACTTTGAGAGGGCACATGGAAACAGTCCAGGCCATGTTTTTAAAATCATGCCATGCCCTCAGGTCAGATCATTTGTCCACATCATCACAGCATCAAAACATTTCTTCTTTGGGGGTGGGCATGGAGGATTACAGCTCCCAGAATCTCCCATGCTCCCTGGTGGATTCTGAGAGGTGCAGTTGAAGAAAGTAATATTCCCAGGTTTTGCTCTGGCTTAATACTGGCCCTTCAGGATCTCACACAGGTTACTTTTTTTATCTGAGCCTTTTCAACTGGAGATGTTCAAGCAGAGCTGTGGCCCTCCAGATGTTGCTGGATTCCAGCTGTGAACAGGCAGGGCCGGTTTACCAAATATTGAGGGAGAGAGGAGGGACAGTTTTTAATGAGTCACTCTTGAGAATGACTGCTTTTCTAACCCATGCAAAGCATGGATGGCTAAGCTTGTCCTTGACCAGTGATCTGTGGTCTCACCTAAGCTTTTCTTAGAAGTGTTATGAGCAGGAATCAGAAAATGTGGAACTAAACAGTTATTCCCTCTTAATTAACACCAAGCCACTGTAGAGGGACACCTGCAAGAGCCAGCTCAAAGGCTGGCAAATGTAACCGAAGTACAGAGAAAAGGACAAGCAGATCTGTAGAGTGGGGGTGGTGGGGAAGCACACCACAAACAAGAAATCTTCCCTGTAGCTTACAGGAAACTGCATCCAAACCCTATTCACGATGGAGGGTTCTTCCAGATTGTACAGCTTTACTCTGCCCTGTTTTTGTCACTCTGCAGTTTTACTCAGATTTACTGAGATTTGCATCAAAACTGGATTGGAGGAGTAGGGAGCTATACCGCTCCCGAAACACCTTAACACAGCCCGCTTTTGTGAGTACTCTGATGTGTGAAACCTCTGCATGCTGAGTTACAGGTCCTTTGAAACCTTCATCAGCAGCCAGAACTGGGTCTGTGAGTTCCACACTAGCTCCAATTTCTACAGGCCATTACTCTGCCCCACCTCTTTCTCTTTTACCTGTCAATTTTCCAAATTTTGTCATTTTTTTCTCCAGACTGGGGAAGCAGCGTAGTGCTAAACTGCCACCTCCGCTGTTAAACACAGACACAAAAGTGTTGGGATGTGGCAAGATCTACACTCCAGTCATTATGGGGTTAATGTGTTTGTCTTAACTGAAGACCTCACCTCCCATTAAGGCTCTACAAAAGGAGTTAATTGCTTTTGCCTGACTCAGAGAAACACCACACTGATCCAGACCAACAGAGTGAGGAAGAGACTGTGTTTGTTGCCTAAGCTGCCATCTCCCCCTACTTGCTTTTACTATTTTTGTATGTTTTGTTATGGAGTTTTAGTAGTTTGTTGTTTTACTAGCAATGTCCTGTTTATCCTTTCCTCAGGGTCTTAGATTAAGATGATTACTTCAATTTCATCTCTGTGCTTTCAATGATTCCCTCTTAAAGGGGTGGGGGGGGGAGTGGGAAAGGGCAGGCTTTAGTAGATTGGGAAGGAAAGCCCCACAAAGCAGGACAAAATAAAACAAAGGCTTTTGAGAGGAATGAAAAATTGAAGGGAGAAAAACTGTTTATACATGTAAACATTGGAGTAACAAAAATGTAATCTGTATGTATTGTACGGAAATACAGTATTAAAATCAGAGCTTAAATGGGTACAAATGGGTACACCCCTGGAAGTGCCCTAGGCCAGTGGTCAACAACCTTTTTGGGGCCGCAGACTGGTTGGGAGGAGCAAATGTGGGGGGCGGGCAGGACACCCCCACATGAACGCAGTGGGCATGTCGCGCTCGCAGTGTGTGTGTTGCGCTCGCTGGGGAGTGTCGTGTGAGCATGACATGCCCTCATGCAAGTGTGACATGTCCACCGCAGGCACAACACGCCCCCGTGTGAGTGTGACATACCCACCACATGGTGCATGCGGGGGTGGAGATCCATATCTGCGGCCCAGTTCCGGCAAGCCCACGGACCGGTACCGCACCACGGGCCCAGGGTTGACGACTCCTGCCCTAGGCCTTTAACATGACCTCCCTGGTGCTTTTAAGCTTGTCTACATATCCATAAGGGCTAGAAACCTATGTATATCTGAGCCAAGCAAGGGTGCAACTATACAGCAGGGAAAATATGATTTGATCCACTGTGATTTGCCCCTGTAGAAAATTGGTTTCCATTGGTAAAACCACTTTGGCCAAATGGGCAGTAGGACATTACATGAAATGAAATGAGCTAGCTAAGTGTCCAGAAAATAATTTGCAGGAGTCAGCAAGGAAGAGGCATAGCTTAGTTTGTATGGAGCTCTAACAGGAGAAATTGCATTAATGCACTAACAAGGTGCTAATTGGCAATTTCCACCTGCCTCTCTTTTAAATTATTCTAACAATAGTATATTCCAGCATTGAGTTGAAACCTTTCTTTCTTTCCTTTTTTAAAACAACCAGTTTGGAGACAAGGGATGCTTGGTTGAGAAGAACTGACCCCCACCCCACCCCGAGTGTCCCTTTGCATTGGATCAGGCAATCACATTGGCAGAAAGTGGGCAAAAGTGATGTCAAACCAGTCAGGACAAATGTAAACCATCTACGTATGCCGGCAGACCTAAAAGAAACAATTCCCCACTCAAAAGAAATGATTCCACAACAGGCTACTCTGCATTGAGCTTTACATTGTGTAGTCACTAGGTTTTAGTTTGAATTATTCTGTGCCCAATCCGATACCTGAAAGGTAAATGGCCGATGTATTCGCCCCCTTAGAAACCAATATTGCTTGTTTAATTCAGTTTTTCAGTGGAGAAGAGCCTACCTCATAGACCGTGAATTGGCTTTGGGCACGAGAGAGTTCCCTGTAGCTTGTGGCAAATTCGCCGATGAAATCATGGCTGTGGGTTAAAAGAAGCAGCAGTATATCTAATCAGTGTTGGCACACACATAACATGGATGAGCTAGTTTAAGTGTACAGTATATTTTTCCCCGCAGGAAGTATCCAGAACTTCATGCATTAAGTCTCCCCTCCTATACTTTCTAAACAAACCAACCCAGGTGTACCGACTCCTATTGCCAATTCATCAGATCCCCTTTAGTCTATAGCAGGCGTGGGAAGTTGGGTCTGGGTAACTGTGGACCTCGCACCAGCTGTAGTTAATACAGTCAGTAGTGTGGCTTTATGGAAGCTGAAGTTTAACAACTTTACCTGGAGAGCCACATTTACCACAGTTATCCATACCCGCTGTGGTTTGTGGGCTGGATCTAGGCCAGAGCTTGGAAATAATACATGAAAACAAATGCATTAATGTTAAACTAATTAGTTTTTACAAGGGATGTGGTGGCGCCGCGGGCTAAACTGCAGAAGCCTGTGCTGCAGGGTCAGAAGACCAGAATCCACACGACGGAGTGAGCTCCCGTCGCTTTGTCCCAGCTCCTCGCCAACCTAGCAGTTCGAAAGCATGTAAATGCGAGTAGATCAATAGGGACCACCTTGGTGGGAAGGTAAAACGGCGTTCCCTAGTCATGCTGGCCATGTGACAACGGAAACTGTCTTCGGAAAAGCGCTGGCTCTACGGCTTGAAAAACGGGATGAGCACCGCCCCCTAGAGTCGGACACGACTGGACTAAAAATGTCAAGGGGAACCTTTATCTTTACCTTTAATTATTTTTTTTGCCAACACCACAAAATGAATTTTAATCTTTAAAAGAATACCATCTTATTGGATTTACTCTCTCAAAACTTCATATCTTTCTGTACAGAGGACACATCAATTCGTATTCCACCATGCCAAAAGGTCTACACTTTGTTCTAAAAATCCAGAAGGTAGCCCAACCCTAGCCTTACAAATAGCTTTGCACTACAATATTTAGAAGACTTTTATATCCCAGTATTCACAGTATATCTCAAAATTTCTGGAAATTAAAGTGTAAAATCATCAGGTGGCCTAAGGTTAGGAACTATTGTTCTGTAAAACAGGGGTCCCCAACCACTGGTCCATGGCCTTGGCAGTAGCAGGCCACAGAGACAGATCTCCTGTCCCCTCCCCCCCGTACTTCCCTCATGCACACCCACCCGAACGCACAGGTGCCCCACCCATCCACGTATGCACACAAATGCACTCTGTTCACCCACAAGCACATCCCACCCATCCGTGCATGTGTGTGAGTGTGCCCCACCGACCCATGAGCACACCCTGAGCACCCGTGCATGCGCACAAGTGTGAGGGTGCCCCGTTCCTGTGCACGGACCCAGCACCTCAATCGGTTTGTGATTTTGAAATGGTTGGGGACCACTGCTACAAAGAACCCACTGGCTGCTTCCAGTTATTATTTTTTTAAACATAGAACTATAAGAAACTTTAACTGAATGTAGGGATGGGGTTAGCAGTCCTCTCCAAGAGCTGGCCTGTCAGATCCCAAGGGCATAGTGACCCCATTCTGATTTCAGCCAGATCAGGTCAATTACATTCCTCCATAAATGAACAAAAATACTGGCTTCAGACTCCCCTGAAGGAAAGTTTGAAAAATAATGTTATCATGAGCAAAATCACAATCCAGCATCTTTGGTCAAGATGAAACTGAGATTATTTGCATAGCTCTTCCCTTTTAAGTATCAGTGTACTGTAAAAGGAGACCTAATCTATCTTGTTGAACTGCCCCTCATACAAGTGCCTCCAAATCTGACTACAGTGGTGCCTTGCTAGACGATCATAATCTGTTCCACTGAAATCGCTGTTTAGCGAAATCATTGTCTAGCGAAAAGCATTTCCCCATTGGAATGCAATGAAACCTGTTTAATGCGTTCCAATGGGGAAGAATCGTCGTTGTCTAGCGAAGATCGGCCATAGGAAAGCCGCTTTGCGAACCGCCGATCAGCTGTTTAAATAACTGTCTTGCGAAGCTTAGATCCCGAAAACACTCGTTTTGCGAGTGCGGAGGGAGCTGTCAAAATCGTTGTCTAGCGAAAATCGGTTTGCGAAGCAGGGACCAAACATTGTCCAGCGAAATTCCCCCATAGGAATCACTGTTTTGCGAATCGCTATAGTGATCGCAAAAAGTCAATGTCTAGCGAAAAAACTGTCATGCGGGGTAACTGTCTAGCGAGGCACCACTGTATTTGAATGACAGTAAAAATGAAATGATTGAACACTTGCCATGAGGAAAAAAAAGATAACAACACCTCTGTTGGTACAAGGAGCGACTCTCTGAGGTTGTGTTGAACTAGGAAACACAGAAAGCTGAGTTGCTACATTTTAATTGCAATTCTTTTTTCAGGCTATCCCACCGGTGGCTCCCAACATGAAAAAGATTCTCTCCTTGCACTGAGGTTTTGTTATTTTTTTTCTTTTTCACGTTAATTAACCCATCATTTTATTCTGTGAGAAAATTAATTTAATTTCATTCAAGCAGAAAAATTTGCAGCCGTACAGAAGGAGGACAGTTCAAGGAGTCCTTCAGTAGCTGCAGCATACAGACATTTTTAGGGGAGGGGGCATGGAAGTCATCCCAGCGAATTAATTTAATTTTACAATTTCACTGTTCAGACTCTGAACGACACTTGAAACAGAATGAGTTAGTAGAATATTGTTTTCAAATATGTTCCTGTGTTCAAACATAAAACGAAAAAGCATACCTTGCAAGCAGAAAACTAAGTGCTGAGTCCCCCCCCCCCCCCGCTATTCTTTATGGCCATTATTTGCATTTATAGATTTCTATTGTAAGGCTGTGCTTACAATAAATTTTAACATAACTAGATGAATGGCCGGTGCTTTAAGCACTTTAATAAGCAATGCTTTGAACAGACTTGAAAGTAGGAAGGGTAGAGTTGGGGCGAGAAACATTTCAATAAAGAGACACAGAGTGTGGCCTCGGGGGAAAAGAATGTATTCCTCTGTTGCTCCAGGTAACTGCTTGCTTGGCTGTAGGGCACACTTGAAATGCTCTGGTTGAAATATACCAAGCCATCTTTTCCTCGCTAGCTCCGAAACACACTTGGTGATGTGTCTATTTGTAAATAATGCAAAGTGTGTGTCAGTGTGTGTATGTGTGTCCTAAGTTGACCCTTCCAGACTGTCCTACAGCTTGGGCCAAATTCAAATCTTGGACATGTTATTTTGGGGACAAAAGCTCCCAGATTCCTCCAGGATTCAGAAAACTGTAGCCCAAAAGGAATTTTTACAAGCACCACCCAAATCCTCCCTGCTAGTCTGCAGAGAATACAGTATTTATTAGCTTTACCGCTTATGAAGAAGATGGCTTTTTTTGTGTGTGTGAGCAACCTCTGCAGGTCTGGAGACCATTCTCCACCACCCTGGGACCTGCTGTGGGTTGTGACAATGCCTTCTTGCAAAACTGTAATGTCTCTCTAACGGCTCAATAACACGCCAGAGGAACCCCAGTTATACCGTTTTGGCCATTATTTGGATTGTTTTCCATTATGACACACAGCTAACTTTGATTCATTTGCCCCAGCAATTGGTTTATTTCTTCCTCACTGGCAGGGTGGTTTTGAACTGTACCAATAATGTATTGATTCATTCCTTATTGTTTCAGCATGTGTGAATGTTGCTATTATTTGTGAAAGAAGGACCACTGTGCTTGTAATAGGGACATGGCGGCGCTACGGGTTAAACCGCAGAAGCCTCTGTGCTGCAAGGTCAGAAGACCAGCAGTTGTAAGATCGAATCCACGCGACGGAGTGAGCTCCCATCGCTTGTTCCAGCTCCTGCCAACCTAGCAGTTCAAAAGCATGTAAAAATGCAAGTAGATAAATAGGTACCACCATGGTGGGAAGGTAACGGCATTCCATGTCTAGTCACGCTGGCCACGTGACCACGGAAACTGTCTTCGGACAAATGCTGGCTCTATGGCTTGGAAACGGGGATGAGCACCGGGCCCTAGGGTCGGGCACGACTGGACTGAATGTTAAGGGGAACCCTTTATCTTTACCTTACTGTGCTTGTACCCTTTTAATTTATTTTTTTAAAGGATATTGGTAAATAATTAAGGGGAACCTTTACCTTTACCTTACTGTGCTTGTAGCCTTTTATTTTTTAAAAGGATATTGGTAAATAATTAGTAGCAGCAGTGTGTGTGTGCGTCCATGCGTGGGAGCGTGTGTGCTTGTGTGCATTCCTGTTCCTTTGGCCCTCAAAAATGTTGAAAATATCCAGCGTGGCCCTCACGGTCAAAAGTTTGGAGGCCCCTGGTCTTGATGGTGGAATAGGGACAATGGGAGACAAATGTCCTTGGGACCTACATACAGTTCTTGAACTCCATCATGAGCCTCCTATACCAATATATTCAGTTACTAAGGAGTTCGATATTAAGGGACTAAATGAATTCATCCAGAAGTACTGTAATAGTATTTTAGATGATAGCATTTCAGAATGCAGAGGTTGCATATCATTTTTGTAAATGCCTCCTGTAAGTAACAACCAAGCTCAGCAGTTCAGCATAGTCGTCTTTCAAATGTGCTGGTTTATTATGTTCAGAAAGCTGCCTACAGAAGGGAACACTCAAAAGTAACATACAAACACACCACCATTTCCTTCTGTGCAACGAGCTATCACATAGAACAAGAAGTTGTTTAGTTGAGATCAGGGCTACACAACCTTTTCAGTCCCAAAGCTTATACTGGCCTAGGGTTAAGACATCACAGCCAAAAATTAAAATAAATAAATAAAATTGCTTTTTAGAACTACAATTCCCAGAATTCCATCCCAGGTGGTGAATTCTGAAGGCCGTCATCCAAAAAACTGCAGTCTTCAAGCTCTACATTGCATGAATGTCTGGATGTACATGCACACACACATAATTTCAGCAATCTTAATACATATTGCTCTCTACCCCTACTAACATCAGTAGATAATCTACTGAGGATCACTGGGAGAGGAAATAGAATAACTATTATGAACAGTAAAATAGGGTGTCAAAGATTTGATAATTGTAGCAGAGGGGTGGGTGGGATCATTGCACGCTGAGGAGCTACTGGTTGTACAGTGGTGCCTCGCTTAACGATTACCTTGTTAAATGACAAAACCGCTTGACGATGAAGTTTTAGCGATCGCAAAATGATGTTTAAATAGGGAAATTTCACTTGATGATGATCGGTTCCCTGCCTTGGGAAATGATTTTTCGCTAGACGATGATTTTTAAACAGCTGATCAGCGGCTCTAAAATAGCCACCCGCCGTGCAAAATGGCTCCCCGCTGTGTTTTAGGACAGATTCCACGCTTTACAGGCAACGAAAATGGCCACCCCTATGGAGGATCTTCGCTGGACGATGAGGTATTTAGCCGATTGGAACACATTGAACCGGTTTCAATGCATTTCAATGGGCTTTTTTGTTTCGCTTGACGAGGATTTCACTTAACAGAGATTTGAACAGAACAAATTATCCTCGTCAAGCGAGGCACCACTGTACTTTCCTGATCTAGAATTAAGCAGAGCCGTTGCCTCACCTGCCATCCCGGTCCCAGTCATAGACATCAATTTTCACAGTTCTGAAATATAAGTAACAAACCAAGTCTGAGAGAAGATGACCTCCACAAAAAGTTCCTAACTGGGACCATTCAATCACTAGGTGATAGACAAGGAGACCCTTGAGGTACTACAGAATTCATGTTCACCACCCTCCCAGTGCTCTTGTAGTCGGCTCCTTCACAATGAAACCAAGTCCCTACAGGTATCCATGGAGATATGGGCTGGAGGCATCTGAAGGGCATGTCATCTTCCTTTCTCCATCGGAAAAAGGAAGGGGGGAAAAAGAGACCATGTCCTTCTCTTAGCTGCTCCTCAGCAATACTGGAAAGAAACTGGATCAAATTATGTCTTACAAATATGCCATTCTAGCTCAGGTCAAGGCCTTCACATCTGAGAAACTGAAAGTGCAAAGAAGCTAGTGTTTACATCTAGAAGACCGGTTGCAAAACAAAGCCAGCTAATTTGTAAACCACAGAGTACTTGATAAAACCAAGCTGCTCTGCCAGCTAATTTGTAAACCACAGAGTACTTAATAAAACCAAGCTCCCACTCTGACAATCGGACACTATCAGCATTTAAGAAATTTCCTGTTCTAATGATGTGATCTCTATAATATATCAGAGGTTCCATTCAATGATTTTAAGAACCCTCAGACAACTTGTGGCCAAAATCCTGTTGCTTTGCATAGTAAGTAACACTAAAGTAGAGCAATTGAGTCAAAGGGGATTTGGTGAGTCAGCTCTTCCAAAGGTCCACTGATTCAATTGCGACTACTCTAACTGTGACTCAGGCTGTGACTATACAGTGGAATAGATGTGAATGGATCCTCTGTATACCCTTTACCCAAGAATTCAGGTTTCTCTGGATTAATTCTCTTTAGCCAACCACACAGGAGGCAGGGAAGGGAATCAACCTCGTTTGTTTGTTTGTTTAGTGTACTGCCCATCTGGCTACCAAGGCCACTCTAAGCAGTATACAAATTCTGTTGTTTGCAGTTTGTTGACCATTTGAAGACACTTCTCTCCACACTTGGTATTTGGCTCTGCTTGTTTCCCTCTTCTTTTCCCTTCTCTTTCCTTCCCATCCCATTTTTATTAATAATAATAAATGTTTATTACGGTCATTGACCAGCAAAATATCCCATTTTATTTATTTTTCTTTCTTATTTTTTTTAAAGCTTGTTGTCCTAGCACTAGAACAACTAGGTGGCCAAAGAGGGACAAAACCAAGGAATTTGCAGAGAAACAGGAGGAAGTTTTCACTTCAGCAGAGAGAGAGACAAAGAAACATAGAGACAGAGAGAGAGAGGGAAGCCAATCTAGGAGCCAGGTGTGAACAGGAGAGGATTCAAATGGCAGAAAGTTTCCTTGCTGCTCTGCTTCTCTCACTGCTGTTGTAGCCACTGGAATAGCTTCAGACAGAATTTCTGCAATCCCTTCCGAAACACTTCAAGCAACCACACAGTCTGAACTAAATGTGAATGCATTTGATTCCAAAAAAAGTAGAAGCCCTAGTGGCAGAGGAAACAACTATGAATTGGGAAGGGGGGGGAATCTGGGCTGATTTGTGTTGACTTATACATCAGTCAGTAAAATTAACGATTACGCAAATTGGACCGTTCCCAGTCCTGGAGCATTTCCCACCATAGTTGTCAGTTTAATCACGCCTTCACTTCAACATAGTAAGTTGTAACTAGAAAGTATCCACTTGAATCAGTGGAATTTACAGAGGAATTGACTCACAAAATCCCCACAGTTTCAATGTGTTTACTGTAGCACACTGTACTACATTCAGCAACAGGATTTTGGCAATTGATTCCCTTGATCTGAAGACAATGGATCTTGTATGTAGGAGATTTCTCTGCAACAGCCTCTGATCTTTTAATGTGTCCTGTGTGCAACATAAGAATGGAAGTGCCTTGGCCATTCTCGAGGCCCTCAATAAAGACCAACAAAGAATCTGGCCTGACCCTTTGCTCCCAACCTCTGTAACCAATCCTGAGCAATGTTGACACTCACCTGTCATAGTCCCCATTGCACAAGGAACGCACAGGGATAGAGAATGGTTGCCACACTGGATTCAGATTGTTCTTCACAACCTCTGTCTTGTGGCAGATGGTGAACCTGCAACCAGAGAGGAGGCATAACGGCAAAGGGCAGAAGAAGAAAAATGGGGCTCTTGTTGGAATCAAAACACAATAAGGAACAGGTCAATGTTCCCCATGGTGAGGGGCATGGATATTTAGCAATTTGGTGAGCCTTATTCAGATGCTATTCACCATGCTTTAATCCCACATACCAGAAAGGAAGTGCTCTATCCATTGTTGCTTGTTGCTCGTGCAGAGAGCAACAAGTCTAAAGGCTCTGTTTTCGTGGAGGCTCTCCAGAGAACTAGGATACTAGAAAATCAGGGCTCTTGCTAACATGGAGAGCCTCCCAATAAGCAAGGAACATTTTTTTTTCCTTGCGTGAAAAACAATGATGGAAGGGTTAGGGCAGTGGTTCCCAACCTTGGGTAACTCAGGTGATCTTGGATTTCAATTTGCAGAAACCCCAGCCCAGCACTGCTGGTGGCGAAGGCTTCTGGGAACTGTAGTCCACGAATACCTGAGTTACCCATGGACAGGAACCACTGGGCTAAAGCCAAGTACTCCCTTGCACAGGTGTTCGATAAAGCACCGTGTATAGTGAGTTAATAGGGTTTTAGTGCAGAATATCCAGGGTAGTCATTTCCAAAGTTGGGAACTAATAGATTTCAATTGCCAGAAGCCCCAGCCAGCATGACCAATGGTCTGGAGATCTGGGAGCTTAAATCCAATTCCTTCTGTAGTTAGACTGATCTGAAGCAACTTCCACCCACAGACTACGCACATAGCATTACACATGGCAATAAAAATCTCCCCACACCACCAATAGGTATGCCTTGGAAGTGATACCTCCTCCCCCTCCATTCTTGGCCCATCTCAAAGGGAGTTTTAAAAGAACACTAATTTATATTTTTGCTGCTCTGGGTGTATCGCTTGAGCTCTGCAAAGGGTTAGAAAGAGGAATGACTGTGCCAAAGGCAGAAAACTTGGTGGTGGTGGAGACGTCAGGGGCATGTACAGTGGACCCTCGACTTAACAGACGGCTCGACTTACAGACTTTTCGAGTTACAGACTTCTCTGGCTGCAAAATTTAGGTTCGACTTGCAGCCAGCTTTGCGACGACTGGGGCGTCCGGCGGCCATTTTGGAGCCACCGAACAGCTGTTCGGCAGCTCCAAAATGGCCGCCGGATGACCCGAAATGGCCCCCTGTCAGTGTTTTCGCGCCCTCCCCCTGCTTACCGAGGTCGCGGAAATGCTGCGACCCTTGCTTACCGAGGTCGCTATGCGAAAACATCGCTGGAGGGGTAAGTTTTGGCGCCTATTGGAACGCATCAAACTAAGTTTAATGCGTTCCAATAGGCTTTTCCTGCCCCGTACAGTGATGTTTTCGCATAGCGAAGGTTAATCCGGAACGGATTAACCTCGCTATGCGGGGCACCACTGTAATTGGTTTTCAATGCATTGTAGGTCAATGGAGACTTGACCTACAGACTTTTCGACCTGCAGCCACCGTTCCAATACAGGATTAATTCCGTAAGTAGAGGGTCCACTGTACTTCTATTTGCTTCAGTGGAAATGCAAATTCAGAATGGCCATCTTGGTGAAGGAGAGGAGGGAAGGAGAGGAGAATTGCTGAGTGCTCTCAGACAACCTAAACACATCAGTGAAGAGCAGAGATAACAATAGGGTTACTGGCTGTTATGGAAGCAAATCCCCAGAAAACATGTGGCCCTCTGCGAAGAGCAGGGGCCCAGCGGCACTTTCAAAGCAGCGACATGCCCTCGGAGCATGAGCTCCCCAAAGTGCCTGCTTAGCTGGATGCCAGGGCCTCGAAAAGGGGTATCTCTTGCGTACGTGCCATCCTCGTTGCTGCGGTAGAACACAAGGAAGGGGTCAGATTTGCCGAAGAAATCCTTCTTGTCGAGCTTGTTGGCACAGAGCTGCATGGTGACAATGTCCTGGAAGGGAAAGGCTGTATCAGATCAAGGGGAAAGTATGGTAAGGGGACCAGTTGCAGAGGCTGGGAAAATAGTGCTTTTTTTTTAAAAAAAAGACTACAATTCCCACAATCCCAGACAGCACAACTAGGGGCTGAGCTGGTTAGAAGATTCTGGGAAAGGTAGTCCATAAAGGGACCGTTCCAATCTCTATAATAAACAGCAATGCAGGTTGAAGGAACTAATGAGAATAGTATAAACTTAGGTTGAATCGCAAGGGGAGGGGTAGAGAAAGATGTGATATCCATCTAATTAATACATAAACAAGTGAAAGTAGTGAAAGCATGTGGAAATGTGAGGGATATGGCTTTGAGGTCAGGCAAGGGTAGGCAAATGTGTCAATTTCACTTTCACTGTCTTTAAAAAAATTTCTAGTTCCTTCCATCATATTTGTTAAGACACACATAAGGGTTTTTGGAAGGTTCTTAATCAAACCGAATCCTTAAACATCTGCACTGGCACAATTAATCAGGGATGGCTTTTCGCAACATGGAGGAGACCATGTTGGACTCACAATGCCATGAAGCCATTGAAGAAAAGGAGTTTATGAGGAAAAGGAGGCTGCAGCCCTAATTCTTAGTTACTTAGACTTCAATCACCAAGAAAAACTGGGTGGTTTTAGAAACTGTACTTCAAAGAAGTAACTTTTCAAAACTCTGGGTGGGAGGTGGAGTCACTTTCTCCATGTGCTCACCAGAACATCCATTTAGTGAATTATTAAACAATGCATTGATCTCAGTGTACTGAAGTACACAAAACTGCCCAATTTGATTTATTTACATTATTACACACTTAAATGCTTGCTCTCACTCCAAAGAACCTAGAGTGGGTTACACATGATTTCCCAGTCATCTCCAAGAAGGGCCAGGACGTCTTGCTACTACTATATACATCTGAGAATCAGCATCCGGTTAGGAAATAGGCCTGTCATCATTTTATGGGCATCCATTAGCAAGACATTCAAGTTAATGCATCTGAAAATTGAAGTTTTAATGGAAAAGGAATAAACTTTCACATATTTTGTTTCTTATGTACAGGGTGAAACTCTGACCCCACTGAATAAACAAACACTGAAGAGAAGATCATCAATCATTCTAATGGAGAAATAACAACAAAAGCAGCAGTATGGCAACAACAGTTGTGTGTAAGACGTGTTCCTCTTTTTCAGCGATTTGTTTTGCTATGCAGGATGTGATTACATGGAGAAATAAATGGCATTTTGGATCCTTTGTGGAGTGGGCCGATGCAATCTGTTTCCCCATAAGCACATGACGTTTGAGAATTGCATTCCAGCCTGACCCCAATCTGTGCCCAAGGTAGACCTTTTTGGTCCAGCTGCAGGGCTGCGTTTTGGGGATAGGCTGGAGTGATTCATCAGCAGATGGAAGGGGAACTCACTTTAAAGGATTTTGCTCTATTCAAAGCAATCCTTTTTGGTGTGATTTGACATACACTTTGTAGACCTTCTGATTGCATCTGCATGCACAAGAAAAATGCGTTGCTAGTTTCTCGCATTAATGCAACAGCTCCTGGAAAAGGGGTGTGTGTGCCAGGTGTGCTGACATGACATGCACCACACCTGCAAGCTTCATGAGGGCTGTCCACCAGTCCCAATGCATTACAGCGGTGGTTCTCAACCTGTTTTGGACTTTTAACTTCCAAAAGGGTCAGCCAGCATTGTTAAGTCAGATACATTGGGAGTTGCAGTTCAGAACAACTGGAGAACAGAAGTAGACAATCTCTGCACTATGACAGACTTCTCCAACCTGACACTCCCTAGATTTGTTGGGCTGCAAACCTGAGCTAGCATGGCTGTTGGTTCAGGATGATGGGGAGCTGTGGTTCAAAGCCTCTAAGAGGAACACTGGGTTGGCATCTGATTCAGAGATTTTCACTTCTCTGTCCTTCAGCTGTTTAGGACCTGAACTTTCAGCAACCCTGGTTCAAATCTCTTTATTTATGCTCTTTATGTTTCCATGCTGTCTTTCTTCCAAGCATAAGTTAAAGCTTGTATCTGTTATATAATACCAGTCAATGTTTTTACAATTTTGATTGACTGTGCCTGGCATTTTTAATAATAACAACCAACCAACCAACCAACCAACCAACCAACCAACCAACCAACCAACCAACCAACCAACCAACCAACCAACCAACCAACCAACCAACCAACCAACCAACCAACCAACCAACCAACCAACCAACCAACCAACCAACCAACCAACCAACCAACCAACCAACCAACCAACCAACCAACCAACCAACCAACCAACCAACCAACCAACCAACCAACCAACCAACCAACCAACCAACCAACCAACCAACCAACCAACCAACCAACCAACCAACCAACCAACCAACCAACCAACCAACCAACCAACCAACCAACCAACCAACCAACCAACCAACCAACCAACCAACCAACCAACCAACCAACCAACCAACCAACCAACCAACCAACCAACTGTTGAGCTATCCAGCAGTTTCAGAGCAACATACTACAACACTCCATTTAAAAAACCCTCTCAGACACTAATGAGTGATGATGGGAAATGCATTCCAACAACAACTGCAAGGCCATGTGTTCTCCAGTCCTCTTGCTGGAGATGGTTCCCTTTCCTTATTTCTAGATCTCGCAGCTAGGCCTGAATCTTGCAAGCTCTTCCCCTGCCCCACAAAAGAATGAACCCACAAAAGGAAAACGAGACAACTCACCCGACAATTGCTGAGCTCTTCAGCAAACAAGATAATGGTGCCACACTTTTTCCCTGGAACCCCGCTGAAGAGAGAATAAAACTTAGGGTCAGTTCAGTTCATGGCATCGCTAGAGATCGAGAGACGTGTGTTTTTTCGGACAACAACTCCCAGAATGACCCAGGAAGTTCTAATCCAAAAGCACAAATCTGCACACCTTGTGTTTTATTTATATTGGCATCTGTATACTAACAGCAAAACTGATGGGACAAAAGTCCTGCATGGAAGTTTCAAATCTTATGCCACTGCACTAGAAACATCATTCAATGCAAACCCCATTCAAACAGCAACTGAGTGCATCTGCTCTCCAATTTATCCAGAGTTTGGAAAAGTCACATTTAATGTTGGTGGATTTAACTTTTCTTAAAGATAACAGGGGATCTTTTCCAAGAAAAGGCATGAAACACATCTAGTAAATGTAAACTTCAAACTTTACATGGGCTTGGAGTGTTGAAACAGTATGTCTGCTTTCGTGCATTTGTCTGTCATATCCACCCCCACCCTACCCCAAGGTGTTGAATCTCACTCTTTTAGAACTGCCGACCAACTAATAATCCATTCATAAACTGAGTAACTTTGATCTTTTTGAACCTGAGCTCCTCTCTCTCTCTCTCTCTCTCAGTTTCTCTCCCTCACATGTTAGTTCCCAGGCTGAATGACAGGGTCCTTTTTAGGATCCTGAAAATTTCCCCATCATTAAAAATGTTTTTTTTAAAGCATAGCATTGTCAGAAAAAAATAATTACAGTATTTAAATACAATATTTGTGTGTTTTCTACTCAGTAATATCAAATATTCCACAAAGTTGGGAGGGAGAAGGCCATGTAGACTTCCTTCACTGAAAGGAACGCAGGATATGCATGTAATTGAAAGATAATAGGCAGTCATCAATAGAGTAACCAGCTGATATAGGGAGGATTATCCTCAATATTTTGCATTTGTAATTTGAATCTCTTGTTTTCAGGTAAATGTTCTTCCTTATTGTTGCTACTGTTGCTGTTGTATATTGAAAATAGTTGTTACACAGTTTTCTATCCATCAGCAATGAGCAATCTCATCAGCAATCCCTAAGCAATGCATGATAAAATACATTTTTGAAAGCAATATTTAAAAACTATTTTAAAACAATTTAAAAGCCAATTTTATCCAACATGGAACCCACAGCTTCAAAGCAGAGAGTTTTCTATGGAAACATCAGCCAAGCTTCCGCCTTAAACCCTGGCAGACCCTCTCCCATGACTCACGTCAGGGGGCGCTCCAGCCGACCTCTTTGGGAGCCAATGATCTCTCCCAGTGCTACGTACGCTTGTCCTAGGAAGTCCTGAGAGAGAAAAAGAGAGATTATATTGTATTAGAATTTTAAAACTGCAGAGCTGGAAAGGACCCTATAGATAATTGAGTCTACCTCCTGTCAAGGAGGTACACTGGGGAATCGAATTCCTAACCTCTGGCTCTACAGCAAGATGCCCACACCACTGAGCTATCCAGCACTCCCGTAGATGACACGGTCCGAGGGGGAGGGAAGACCTCACCATATTACAGAGCCAAATATTTGAACGACAGCTCCCAGAATCTCACATCCATCATGGAGTTCCAGAACTGGCCATCCAGCAAATAAACATTTCTCAACTATGGATTTAGTCCTCTACACTCCACGCACATGCTGGATAATATTGCAGTCAAACGTTTTAATTATTTTCTACCAACTTTCCAATCTCCGACAAGAGAATCCTGAGCATGGTTTCAGAACGGCCCTGCTCTCAACCTATCTGAATACTGTCTCAGTACAGGTGCTTACACATGCCCACAAAGAGTGGATTCATCTGCGCCTCTTCCTCACCACTGATTCCCAGACCTAGAAGTGTTACATCTTCGGCCTTGGCCCTAATGGCTATCAATGTCTGGTAAATGTAGTCCAAAGAAATAATAATTCCAATTTCTGTGAATCCCATCAAGGGAAATGCTTTTAGGCAATTTCCCCTCTTCTTTTAATTGTGAAATTGTTTTGCCCCTTTCAAGGAATTTCTGTATGGGAAGTCCAGACATCCATCATTTTCCATTTGTAGCCCTGTTATGTTCTCCGAAAATAAAAGAGGAATGATAGAAGAGTATCAGGATGCCTCACAGCCATTCACCGCAAATTACCCCAAGTCTGGCCCAACTACATGGGACACTACTGGATCACTCGAGGGCAGCATGATTCCTTTAGAGCAGCGATTGCCAACCCAGGTTATATGGACCCCCAGGGGTACGAACCAGGACAGTTAGGAGTACGTGAAAAAATTGAATAATGAAGGAAAAAGACACGTACATTGACAGTGTAAGACAAGACACAAGTCAAAAGTTGTGAAATTATTATGATGAGTGGTGGAGGGGTTTTTCTTCATTATTTAACCTCGAGAAAAGTCCAGTTCCTTTGCTTTGTTATTTTGGTGAATTGTGAGCAGTCCCTCCCTAAACAGTGTGTGGTAAACATGCCATAACAGTGTGCATGCTCGGTGACACAATCCTCATAGGCTTAGCTTTTACTCTTATCCACTTTGGGAACATTCAAGAGCTGTCACATCAGTACTGGTGTATTATATGTGGGCACTTGATCAGTGCTCAATGAATGAGTTCTTCTGGATCGTCTCTATGTCAATGTTTTAAGTTTTAAATTAATCTTTTAGATTGTGTATTATCATTTATTTATCCATTAATTTAAAACATTTTTACCCTGCCTTTTTCTCTTTAAAAGGACCCAAGGCGGCCTTTCAATTAATACATTGCATTTGCTACTTAACTGAAAAATTAATTAACATATTTAATGTATTAATTAATGCAATGTATTTTATGTAATCTGTGAAGCATTTACATGAGTTCATTGTATCTTTTGAATTTTGAATGTAAAGATATATGCACAGTCTGTTCCTTTTATTATTTCCCTTGCTTTTAAATCCCATTATTGGGCTATTTATTGACAGTTACAACATAACGTATATATTTGAAGCAACAGCAACCATATTAATTAGAAACATTTTGCTAGTATGAAGGGTACAATTTATGGAAATGGGCTGCCAAGGGGTGTAACACAAGTGAAAAATGGTTGGGAACCACTGTTTTAGAGGGCCGGAGATAACTCACCTTCTGCAAAGGCATGTTGGGAAAAGCAGCATGGGAGAAAAAGAGTTAGAACAGTGAAGGTCAGGAACTCACCTCCTACAAAACCATATTGGGCAAAGTAGCATGGGAAGAAAATGTTAGAACAATGAAGCTAAGTGACTCACCTTCTACAAAGTCATGTTGGGCAAAGCAGCATGGGGTGAAAAAAAATATAAAACAGTGAAGTTAGTGTATTCTTTCTTAAGTCTGTTCTGAAGTCCTCCCTGCTGTTCTACTATCCCCACTTCCTTTGTGATTGAATAAGTGCCTCCTGCTTCTGTCTCAGTAAATCATAATAACCCCACAATTCATTCATTAATTTAATTTTTATGCCACCTTTATCCCAGTGAAAGGACTGAATGGGGCTCACGCATTGTTCCAACAGATAAGAATTTGAAAACAGAATGAACTAGACCAGTGAAAAGCAATTAAACATATAGGCTGAAATCCTGTTGCTTGATATAGTAAGTTGGAACTGAAGTAGCCCCATTGAGTCAACGGAATTTATGGAGGAGATACCTCACTAAATCCTCACTGATTCAATGGGCCTACTCTGGTTGTGATTTTCTGAACTAAACTATGGGATTTCAGCTATTAATTTTAAAATGCTTGTTGAAAAACAAGTTTAGAAAATATTTTAAAAAATTAAAAGATATTAAAAAGGCTATAAAAGCGGCAACCATAGACCATCTTGTAACATGTAAAAAATTAGACATTAAAATCTTGTCTGAAAAGAAAAGAAATGAAAAAGAAAAGGGAGAGAAATGGAAAGCAGGGAGAAGAGGGGAGAAATGTAGCAAATTACACAAACTTTAGTTCAACAGGACACTGGGAAGAGGGACTTATTCTATTGGCTTGTAGGATAAGTGAGTTTTGGCAACAGAACTGATGGATGACAGGGAGGAAGTCACATGGAGGAAATTGGAAAAGAATTCCAGACAGGAAGAAATATCAAAGTTTGGGATAGTTTTCGGGCCCACAACTCCCAGAATCCCCTAGCTTGTGTGGACAGTTACATTATACCACTTGACCACTGGAGGGCAGCATGGTACTAGCTATGTTGGTTGGGGATTCTGGGAGTTGTAGTTCAAAACATTCGGCGAGCTTTTTTTGATGTGAAAGTGGAAAGATAAGAGAAGAGGAAAGGGCATGGCAGATTTTTAGGGGAACATGTATTTGTAAATAGAATAAAAGCAAAGCAATAAACAGACCTGCTTCCATCAATACCTCAGATAAGACACACAGTGTCATTTAGTTTTCAAGATATCCCTGCACTCTGAGGATGAGGTCTTTTGTTTTGTTTTAAAGGCTACTATGAATCTCATAATTTCAACATTTTATTTAAAAAAAATCCTGAATAATTCAGATTTAAACGCCTGGTGACTGGTGCAACTGGGAAATAAAATATCCATATTGCCTACCTTTTGGAGGGGAACACAACACCCTTTCTTGCCTTTGACCATAACATACTTTCCTGGACTTCGGCTAATGACCTACTCTATGGGTTCATCTCTTGTAGAGACGGATGAGCAGGCAAACGTGGTACTTACATTCTTAGGCAGGCTGCAGGTCTTGGAATCCACATTGTAACTAGAAAAGCACAGAGAAGAGGATATGAATGTTTTGGCCAAAGGAGATTAGGCGATGTTCGATAGAGCCTAGCATTGATATTTGAGACCAGAGCAATGACGAATGTACAGTATAGAGGCAGTGAATGGTGGCTCAAAAGAGCTAGAACTCACAGAATGAACACACTGCAATGTTTTTCTTAGCACAGACAATGGTAACACTGGCCACCCCTTCAGACCTCCCTGTCCTTCTCTGAGCTTAGCTGCAGTTTTCACAGTAATGGGAGGATACTGGCAAGAAGAAATGAATTTCTTAGCAATAACACAATGTACGGAGTGGTTTAGTCTTGAATGGATAACTAAGAGTATATCTACACTGTGTAGTTTGATACAAGTCTGTCATGTTTACGAACTACAGAATCTCAGGAATTGTTGTTTGGTCAAGCATGAACTGCCAGTATCCTCTTGCAGAGCTCTGCCAACACAACAGGGACAATGTCTCTGACAGTAGATTGCCACTAATCATACAATCCCTTTTTCAATTTTAGGATATTTACACACAACTTTATACCGTTGAGTCCAAAACTGAGTGCATCCTGAAATTTTAAAAAATGGACTCTTTAATCAGCAGCAATTGGCCACTGGTCGTGACATCATTTCTACTGCCCCAGCAGAGCTACACAAGAGGATAATGGGCAGGATTCTTTCTAAGGCAATACACTAAACTTGAATTTGCAGGATACTCTGATTACCTAATCAAACTACGAATCCCAGAATACTCCAGGACAGTGGTGGTGAACCTTTTTGGGCTTGTGTGCCCAAATTGAAATAAATAAATAGATAGATAGATAGATAGATAGATAGATAGATAGATAGATAGATAGATAGATAGATAGATAGATAGATAGATAGATAGATAGATAAACAAACAAACAAACAAACAAACCAGCAGGTGGTGTGCCACGGTGCCGGTGGAACCAGAAATGGTGGTGGAAGGGGGATTCCCGGGCATAGAGGTGTGTCAAGACCCTACTCTGGATCCGCTGCCAGTACCAGCTGCTCTGGATCCGCCTGTCAAAGTGCCAGCACCACAGCTACAGCCGCCTTCTCAGGTTTGGCTGCATGGTGGTGGGGAGTAGCAATCTGATGACTTATGGCTCGCGTGCCCGCAGAAAGGGCTCTGTGTGCCAGCTGTGGCACGCGTGCCATGGGTTCGCCATCACTGCTTTAGGATAAAGCCACGAGAGTGGAAGTGTTCTATCTGCACATTTGCATAAAAGCAACTGTTCCTATTATATAGATCAAAATTCTTAGAAGCAATTTGTTGCAATGGATCAACACAGTCTATTGGGTTTCTGGATAGTTTTTGAAGGCCATCCGGCTGCAAGGACTATCGAGAGAAATGCCTGCCTGTCAACATTTACCAACAGGCTCCCGACAAAAAGCAAAGGAGAGGTGCAAGAAAAGGGGTAAGGATTGGAGCAGAGGATGAGGAGAGAAGCAGGATCCACTTACACATCAAAACGCAGGTTCTGCTTCTCTTCGAAGTAATAGTCGAGAACGAACTTCCGGACAAAGTCTGGGTTCAGTGTATTGTCAATCACTTCTGTGCGGCCAAACTTAAAAACGCAAGGGGCACGAGGGAAGAAGGAAAATGCAGAAAGTTAAAAGGGGTGTGTGGCAGGTATAGAGGTCATGATGTATGTCAATGACAATTTCTCAGTCATACCCTTCCCAATCCACAGCCTAGGATTAAAAGTGCAAGTAGTATGAATAGCAGGAAAAGGAGAGGTCACCTTGGAGCCATGTGACAGGGAGGCTCTTCCTAGCTGAACAAGACATTTTTCTTTTCATTCAGAATCTAAGTTTTTAGGATTCCAGACTCCTCAAATCTCCCACTTAAAGCAACAGGCTTGTTTGTGATGCTTGGATTGGACAAAGGAAAGGCAGGTATGAGGCAGCTCATTGGTGAAACTTACTAGAAAACCAGCTAATCAGGGAAGGGAACTCATCAAATATAATGGCCCGGGATGCTGAACTATAAGGTGGCTGGCCTATAAGGATGGATCTCCTTTCCTTGGCTTGATACTGGAATTAAGGACGGGAGCAAAGAACAGGGGAGGGGGAATAATTGCTCACCTCACGCCACTCCTTGTCTGCAGTTCCTTGGACATAGAGGAGCACAACTGCAAGAATAGGTGTGAAAAGAAAACATTCAGTGTAGATAGTGTGTGCTTCAAACCACCCATATCCAACCATGACTTCACCTGTGTAACTACTGTACTTTTTTAAAAAATTAGTAATATAAGTTGTGGCTGGATACATCCTCACGCACAAAATGAGACACTGTGAGAATTCTTTTCCTCATCATAAGGTGGTAAGATTGGGGTTTTGTTAGCTTTTTTTTGTTTGTTCATTTGGTTTTGTTTTTGGGTCAAACTCCTAGACAATTTGCACATCTGTGAGACCATTTGCACCTGGAAGTGTGCAAACTTTCAAAATACAATCATTGCTGAGACGCAGAGGGGCAGCGTCCTTCTTTGTGAGCAGTCAGCATGCCCGTTTGTGCTTGCTCTGTGTGTGGATGCTCGCGTACACTTAGCTTCATGACAGGAAAAGAAGCTAGAGACATTTCGGGGAAAGCAAAAAACCCTAACAATGCTTGGTTTCTCACTCTTGCACTGGAGGCTAAACAATCATTATCAGGCAACTTATAAAAGGGACTTTGGTGAAACTTCTTCATATCCCCAAAAATTTAACAAACGCTAAGAACACTAGCATCTTCCTTATCACAAGGCACCTTTGGATCCTAAATCCACAAATACAGCAATATAGACCATCCCTGACTATTATTTCTAACGAAAAGCGGGTTTGCGAAGGGGACAAAATGGAATGGAGAAGCAGCAGCAAGAGGGATGCTTAATGCTTTCTGTACTTTCTGCTTCTTGGTTTTAAATCATCAGGAGAGATGGGCGTGAACTGATTTGTCCCAGTTTGTTCCGGTTTGTAAAGACAGCAGCACAGGCACTGTTGTTCCCCTTTCCCCCCTCCTTTGCCTCAAACAGCCACTCACCAGGCCCAGATAGCTCACTTTTTCCATCTCCTCAGCTGATCTCCCAGTCACAAGTAAGAGCACAGAGGTCTCTGCCCCGCCCTTTTGCTTGAGTGGAAATTCATACAAGAGGGAGGGCAGAGAAATCTGAGGCTATGACTAAACTGAGGCTATTGGGGAAAAACAAAAGAAACAAAATAACAAACAAACAAACAAACAAACAAACAAACAAACAAACAAACAAACAAAATAAATAAATAAATAAAGAAAGAAAGAAAGAAAGAAAGAAAGAAAGAAAGAAAGAAGATAAAAACACTGTGGCACCTTAAAGGTAAAGGTAAAGGTTCCCCTTGACAATTTTTGTCCAGTCGTGTTCGACTCTAGGAGGCGGTGCTCATCCCCGTTTCCAAGCCATAGAGCCAGCGCTTGTCCGAAGACAATCTTCCGTGGTCACATGGCCAGTGCGACTTAGACACGGAACACTGTTACCTTCCCACCGAGGTGGTCCCTATTGATCTACTTGCATTTGCATGCTTTCGAACCGCTAGGTTGGCGGGAGCTGGGACAAGCGACGGGCGCTCACTCTGTTGCGTGGATTCGATCTTATTGACTGCTTGGTCTTCTGACCCTGCAGCACAGGCTTCTGTGGTTTAGCCTGCAGCGCCACCACGTCCCTTACGGCGCCTTAAAGACTAACTGCTATATTTTATTGTGAGCTTTCGTGGACAATTCCTGTTCCTCAGACATAAGAGTGGGACTACAGGGCAAACATACATTTAAACATGACCCCAAGCTAGTGACTGTACGTATTTGGGCACAAGTTGTTGACTTGGCAATGATCTTTAAGACCCCTGTTGATATTCACTCCCCCTCCCACCAATGACAATGATTGATGGATAAATTAATCCTAGGCTATAGATAAAAAGCAGGAACAACATAGAGGATTTCTATGACATTTCACATTTTCTCTTCAACCTACATGTGAACCCATAAGTAAGCTTTCACCAGATCACAAAATATGAGATGAACTGATTGATAATTATGCACAAGGCACTCCAATTTAAGGCAGTATCATTTAACAGTATTTCCCACTTATGTCACAATTCAGGGGAAAACTCTTTTTTTAGTAATACCTTATTATAAAGACGTCTAATCCAACAATATGTCCCCAAACCCCCACCTAAAATCTTACTAAGCACAGGAAAGAAAGCTATATTAACAACCACCATTCATATCACAGCAAGACTTAATAATACAACACTGTATTCTCTCCAATACTTTCTTATCTACGTTGAACAATTTGTTATCACAAGTTGGTTTGGTATTTCTTCAAGTCAGCCCAATTAAGCTCAGCAAAATTATGACTTTTGCTTGAATATGGAAAACACTTCTTTCTCAAACCCATTTCTTTTAAATACTTACAGTAGCTTTGCACTCGTTGAAGCTTAAAAATCATGACCAGCCAATTAATTTCTGAGTTCACCGTTTGTGATTATCTCTATTTCTGTTCCTAGCACTGGGATATTAGGATTCTCATCATTATTGGTTAGCAAATATATTCAACTTCCTGCCCCAGTACCAGTTTCAGGGGGTGGGGGGGGAAGCTTTAACACTGGGTGAGCAACATAGGCAGGCCCACTGGTCCATTCCCAGGAAACCTCAAAGGCAGCTCAGTGGGGGCAGGAGGGGTCTCTATGGGCCATCGGTGGGGGGTAGGCCCCTAGGGACTCGACAGTGTGGCTCGGACAAATATAAAACCCTCTGAGTCCAAGTCTAAATGTACATAGCTTTGGAAGTTCACGTGTGTGCGTTCGTGTGTGTGTGTAGAAGATCTCTACCTAAACTTCCTTAATGCCAGAGAAATTTACTTCAGGAAAATCAGCACAGAGTTTGGGACATTAAAACAAAGATCAGGTTATTCTGGGGGAAAAATTGGGGGGGGAATTCAGTGACAAGACAATAGAAAGTTGTTTTTGTTATATGCATCTCCAACATATGACAACCCTACGAATGAGCCATCTTTAAAAGGTCCTGCCTTCAACTGCCCTGCTCAACTCTTGTAAACACAGTCCTGTGGAGATCCAAGTCCCAACAGACTAGATTCTGATATGGCTACAAGGCTTTCTGTCAGAGGAATCTGCTGGTGAATGACCGAGAGGCATATCCAATTACAGAGAATTTCTGTGCTGATGGTTGAGCCACAGAAGGCTTTTGAGTATCCTTTTGACGGGGTTTCAGCTTCATGATGTCTACAAGCATGTTGAGATGAGCAAGGACTTTAAAAGCAAAACAAAATAAAAAGAAAGACAACTTCTTACAATAGTATAAAACTCTAGAGACTCAAAAAGAAATAGGTCCCAGGATTATGCAGTGTTGCAAATGTTGCTGAGCTAACAGAAATTACACACGTCCAAGAAAAACACATACAGAGTTTTTTGTTTGAACGACACTTTTAAAAAATGTCTTTTGGCTCTGAACTATATAGGACATGTGTTGTATTACCACTTCCACCATTGGTCACATAGGCCGAGGATGATGTGATCTGTTGTCCAACACATTCAGAGAGCACCAGGATGGGGAAGGCTAACTGATACAGTTTTTGTAATTTATTGCAGCATGTTGGACAACAAATTAATTAGATCACCTATTTCCATTTTTCCTGTCGTGATGTATGGAAGTGAGAACTGGACCATAAAGAAAGCAGACCGCCGAAGAATTGATGCCTTTGAATTGTGGTGCTGGAGGAGACTCTTGAGGGTCCTCTGGACTGCAAGGATAACAAACCTATCCATTCAAAAGGAAATCAACCCTGAATGCTCACTGGAAGGACAGATCCTGAACCTGAGGCTCCAGTACTTTGGCCATGTCATGAGAAGAGAGGACTCCCTGGAAAAGCCCCTGATGTTGGGAAAATGTGAAGGCAAGAGGAGAAGGGGACAACAGAGGATGAGATGGTTGGACAGTGTCATCGAAGCAACCAACATGAATCTGACACAACTCCGGGAGGCAGTGGAAGACAGGAGGGCCTGGCGTGTTCTGGTCCATGGGGTCACGAAGAGTTGGACACGACGAAATGACAATTTCCATTTTATGATATGATCCATTGTCATGTAATAATAATGTGCCATCACGTCAATTCTGACCTTTTCAGGGTTTTCTAAGTAGATAGTACTCAAAAGTGATCTACTATTCCTTCTTGTGGGGGGCACCCTGGGACTGTGCAGCTTGCCCAAAAGCCACACAGGCTGGCTCTTCCCCAAGGAGGCCCAGTGGGGAATTGAGCCCCCAATCTCTGGCTCCACAGCCAGATACCTAAACCACTGAGCTATCCAGTCGGTGTCCATTGGCATAAGTTAATATAAAATCAACAAATGCTTACATGAGCCTCTGCTAGGAAGTTGGAGCTAATCAGTTGCTGAAATAGTTTTTAATCAACATGCAAAAATTATCCGCCTGTTTGTTTTCTTCACTTCCCCAGCTTTCTATTCCCTCATGCTGTTTTCTTCTCCATTTATCATTTCCAATTTTCCCTCCATCTCTTCTTCCTTCCTATGGACCGCATGTGCAACTCTAATTTGTAGACATTTAGTAAGACCTTTGACCTGCCTTCTACCCCATTTCCTTCCTAGCCATCATCCCATTACCTCAGCCTTGTTACCTACCACGTGTTTGTGATGTTTTCTTCTCCCCCAAAACCAGCATCTCCTTCCTTCTTAGTAAATGGAATTCTGTGACCTTACTTCTATCTTCAGCAGTCACAATGTTTGTAAACATTCCATTAATAGACTTCAAAGCAAAGAAGGAAGATCAAAGAATATTCAGGCAAAATGGGGCTACTTAGATTCAAGAAAATTTTTCTGTGACCAGGGAAAGATTAAATCAGTGCAGCAGTTATGTACATTCAGTTTATGCCCCACCACATGTACAAAAGAAGATCTAGCAAATGACCAAGATGATATTGAAGTAGCCTACTTCTGGTCAAAAACAGACTAATGATCTTAACATTTTAATTTTTTTAAAAATTGTATCTATATTTCATACCACAGCTGCGATACAAGGATATCTGCAAGCGGGATCTGAAGGCCTTAGGAATAGACCTCAACAGATGGGAAACTCTGACATCTGATCATTCAG